CCATATAAAGTATCATATAAAAAAAACAAATAGTGAATAAAATTAAGTATTACGAGTATATATTATATCATAATACTTAATGTTATTTACTATTTATTTTTCATATGATACTTATATGTGTTAGTAGCAGCTAAAATAAAGTGTACGAAAACGTGTAAATATGCAAATAAATTCGCGGAAACGAGTCATTTTATATACAATCAATTTTATTCTATTGGCATAATATCTAACTTTGTTTTCTCTAAAAGCTGCAAACACACTTATCTATCATTTAATTTGCGAATGCAATTTCTGTTTAGTACTTTAATGGTGTGAAATAAAAGCAAATCAACAATTGTTGAAATTTATATCATCAGATGTTTGTTAATTGCTTTTTTTAAAAATAAATGAGATCATTATATAAAATGCACAATAATTCTTGATTCACAAAAAAATAATCATTAAAACAATTTTAATTTTTTTAAATACAGATATAATCCGCATTACATATTTCGATATCTGTTTACCGAGAAGTTCAAAACAAATTTCATATTTATTACGTATCTCACAAATAACAGATAGTATAAGTACACGGGAAAAAAATAGATTGAATAGTACAGAAAAGCTATAACTTACTGCGCGAATTCAACATCTATAACTAAGAAGCTTTGATGGTTTAACAAATCGCCAATGTTATTCAGCTATCAACTTTGATACTTTAACACAGAAAACTGATTATCCGCATATTATAACTGTTATAGATTTGCTGAATCAGTGAAGTTTTTAGCTGTGTAGTTTAATTTTTCATTCGCTAATTATATCTCAACTATAACGATATTCCTCCGATGAAACACGATATGACGCATTTATTGAAATTTGGCGAATACTCGTACACGCTAGTTAATGATGTAAATTATTATTCTGAGGGAATGGTAACTAAGGACCGAGTTTAAAGCGAGTTTCTGGACTTTGCAAATTAATACTTGTATGCCATCGTATTAAGCAATCTCTACAGCTTTGTATCCTTTGTCAATACGATTTCTCGGCTACTGGCCGCACACACCGCAGTATTTCGTAACGCTGTTGACCGTAGTGTAAATCGATATCTCAAGCCGTTCTTCAGATAGAGCGCACCGTTTCACGAGATTAGTCCGGCGCCAGGGTTGAATGTAAATCCCAAATACATTTGCGGGAAATGAGATTTTCCATGGCCGCTATCTGCGCGAATCCGGCCGCCTGCGTGTGCGACTCACTCAATTTATTTTTCGTACTTAAAATCCTCTACATTTCACACTGAGAACGTGAGCCGCGATCTGTGCTTTACCTCGAGAATGGCCACTTTCAGCTAGCTGTAAATTATCACTTTCGCCCCCGTCTTCGAAGCAGCGCACTTATCGCATAGAGCTTCGTACCGTCGCCGAAAGCAGTGAAAGATTCCTCTATTTTACGGGCGAACGGACTACGATTCGATACGTCGAAGTTGTTCGCGTGAAAGAGCAAATGGTCGAACGAACGCCGCTGCTTTTCTCTGACAATTAGTGTGATAAATCCCCGATGGGAGAACATCGAGGAGTCGAGGTGTTTTGCACCGGTCACGCTGTCCGCGCATTCCACTCGGAAAGTGCTTTCTGGGAAGGAGAAATTTCATTTGCCCTTGAATGCGTGGAATTATCGTGTTACTATTCTGGCTACACTAGCGATTTTCAATGACTCAGAAGCCGCACCATTAGACCCTTATGCGGATACAGGTATAGCCCTCGTCCAACACCTGCCAGTCGAAGGTCACGATAATGTTCGCGCGGAAAGGCTTGACTATCGCATCCGACATTCGCGATTATTCACACTCGACGGTGAGAGCTGTCGCGTGAAATTAGATCACGACGCGTGAATTTCCTAGGACAAAAGGGCTTCTAATGGCGACCATACGCATTCGAACCGAAACCTAGTAGACGTGAATACATGTACTGAAGGGTATAATTCCTATATCATCTGTATTCAAACAGATCCTATACAGATCAAGACGAGAGGAGATCTTCGAACAATAGACGTAATATACAAGAAAAATTAATATTGATGCATTAAAATTTTACTCCAGTTTTCACATTATTATTCTTAAAATTTATATTGTATTATATCTGCATTGTTATACATGTCTTTTAAATTATAAATTACAGTGATAAAGTACAACACAGATTGAAAACTCAATTAAAATCTAAGAGAACTGATACTTCCAATATTTTTTAAGCAAGTCTTTTCTGTTTTGTTTAAGAACAAATTAGTTTTAATTTGAGTATGAGATAACAAGTATGAATAACATTAATAAAACTGATTAATAACGTAATAAAGAAATCTGAGTATAATAAAGATAGAAACATCTCTTATATCTTGTCCTGGATAAATCTGTGTTCTAATTTAAGAGTTAATAAAAATGATATCCTTTCCCCGCAAGTAATGGATTTGTGATTAATCTGGGTTTTCTTTTCTGACAGATCATTCATTAGATTATATAAATCTATCTTTATTATCGCATGAATATCGTGCTTTCATTTTGAAACCATTCGAATAAAGAATCATTAAAGTTACTCGTTTGATCTTCCACATTTTATCTCCGATCGTATTTATTCTACCATCACAAGTTGCAATTTTGTTTCAAAATCCATTCTATTATCAGGGATCATCTATTAAGAGCATCAATACTCCGAGATAAAAAGTTCTTCTATGTGGATGGAGTTTTTAAAGGCGAAACAAGTGAGAGGAGAATCTGTTCTTCCGCGGAAGAATCTTATCGATTTAATTAACGCGTCCACGACGAACGCAACGAACCGTCTGTTAATCGGGAGGGCATGAGTTTTTATCCCATCTTCGCCATTATGGCGTCGCCGTTGATGCCAGTGCGCTTCGTACGAACCGAGCCGGGCATTATGGGCGTCATATTTTCCGTGGCGGTCCATTGTGCAGCCGCGTACGACGTGCAACGGAATATGCATATGAATGATCATGCAGATTCCCCGTTTGTTTTATTATCTTGGAGCGCTCGTAAGTGTATCTGCATTATGCAACGACTAATAGGGGTAATGGGCAACGTGATTACCGCTAGCACCGTGCATTACTTTCGGCTCATAATTCCTGCGCGATTCTGTTACGAGACGAAATGAATGTGCCGCGTTAACATTATGCAACCCGATATGTCAGCCGCAAGCAATCGCCGTTAAAATTTTCTTTCGCCCGCCTTAAAAGTATTTATCGTCGCTGTACGCTGTCGAGAGTCCTGAGGAGTATTTCGGGATTACCGGGCAAGACCCCGATTGTCGGTAAATATACGCAGATGAAATTCAGAATTGTTTTGCATAAACTAGTTTAATTAAAGTGCTTTAAACCGTTCCGCGTGGAAATTTGGAATCGGATCTTTACATTTGCGATTCCTTGATTCCCTCTTTCTCTTTGGAAAAAGTGCTCGTTACCTGGAATTTCTTGTTGAACAAGACACCTATTTCTAATCTTGCGATTTTAATAATTTAATAGATTAATATCTCATAATCTTGATTGTATCCTTAACGGATGTCTTAAAAGAAATGTCAGCTTTTCGTTCACTTAATCGATAATATAACGTTCACTTACATGCTTTGCTGCGCAGATCCCAGATTTTTAAAGTCCGATCATAACTTCCTGTAACTACTTTCGATGGTTCGCCAAGAAACTTTGCTGCCATCACCTTTGCACAGTGGCCCGTGAGTGTATGCTGAAACAAAAATATAAAGATTCATTGACGTGAATTGCTACCTCCAATAGCGCAAGTAAAATGAGAATACATATGTACTTGCAATAATATATGGATCAATAAAAATTTTTCGTACTCAATTGAATAATCTGTCTAATCTCGCCAATATCATTTAATTAAAAAAAAAAAAAAAAAAATTAAGATTTCTTCCCTGATTTCATTCAAGTTAATTTTAAACATAAAATAATTTCACACAGATCAATTTTACTTAAAATAGTTAATCTTAATTTCTCACTTGAATTTTCCTTTAAAAGATTTACACATTTTCTATTTTATTTATTTTATTGTATACATTAATTTTTATTTAGATACGCTTAAAACTAATAAATAGCGAAATTTATTACTTTTCCAGTGATACTAACTCCATTTAAAAACGTGAGCTATAAAAGGCAATTAAAATATATTATTCGCGTCACGAATTTACCCTGTTATAAACTATTTTGTTTAAATACAATTTGAAAGCACCGTAGTCATTGGCGCTTTGTAACTGGAGTCTTGAACTTTAAACAGGGACTTGTTAGATCGAGCACCGGCTTTCATAAGTTGATTTTCTCTCTTCTACTTTCGAGTTTAGCTCTGCTCCGAGCATCGACGTGTTCGAAATGAGAAATGAATGTAGCTGCAAGGGGCGGAAGTAGACCGACGGTATAAAGCGTGCGTTTCCAACGGAATAGTACGTCATCCTTTAACAGTAACAAGAAAAGAGTTCGATTTCATTATTACCTTCATATTGAGTTGAACAAGAAAACTCAACTGGTGCCCTCGAATAATTCCCTTTATATTCCCGATATTCGTTCATGAACATTTGAACGTGATATAGATTTAACAAAAATTACATCAGCAGAGGCTTAAGCACAATCGTAACGACCGTCACGATGAACGTAATACGAGTATTACAACTGAAAATATTGTCAAATATCCCGGGGATATTTGTTTTGCCGTTGACATGATGTCAACGATAGTTGTTCTGTCTCTCTTTACTTTGAGCGTTTTTGCGCGAACGAGCATTAAACCCGTACGTTGACGTCCATGGTGGTCCATTTTACGAGCAATTTTTTTTTCGATCACGAGCTATGCCCGATATTCTAGGGTTCTCTTATCAAAGTTTTTGGGAACGGTGTATGTTCGATAGTTCTCTATTTTTTTTTTTACAGCAATCCTGACGCAAGTCTTTCATTTTGAAACAGAATTTTTACCTCTTGCTCGTTCATTTATGCAAAACATTGCTCTCTCTATTTAGCACATAAATCATTGTGGCAGAGATTAGCTGCACATTACTATAATCATAAACAGGAAGGATTAGAATATTCGTAACAGCATAAAGTTAATTATGTTTAAGCGTTTGCTAACGATCGCTTGTCGATAAAGAATTTGCTAGCAAAGCGTTACTATCGGCCGGTACTTTACGAGTGAATAAATTTTTCAATGACAGCAGGTATCCTGCGTTATATATTTATCGTATCCCGCATTAATAGTGCAAACTGCTAATGAAATTTCAAGAATGATATACAGAGTTCTCATACTGTAAGACAGTTCAATGGGTGAGGGGAGAGTAATTCAAAAACAAGCGGCGGGCGGTCGCGCTAATGTTTTACGAGTCCGAGTTTTACGAGTTAATAAATTACTTAGCGAGAGGCAACATTTCTTTGTTCCAATATTGACACAACGTATTGTGACGTGAGTGTCTACGACGGCAATAAAATTATCAAGTGATATATGTAGCACTTATACGGTTACGTAAAATTACCGTTGAATCTAAAGAGTAACGACGATCCCGGTATCGACGGACCGTTTTACAAATCAATCAAGTCGTGCGACGGATCTGCCACAGGCGTGATTTAATGACTGCCAACGCCTTCCGCGTGCATGCTTGCACATCGTCGTTAAATGAAATTCTGAAGTTATCTCATATACGCTTCGTTCGTTCCTTTTTCTTTGCATCGTCGTTTAATGGTGAAGAATTCAAGCGTGACGTCGACAAGAGGAGGTGCGAGAGAGTGACTCAAGACCTCTTCCGTATAAGAGAGAAAAGATGTTAAAAAGAAGACTTTGCCAATTTTAAGGTGCGCGGCGCCGGGAGCTAGCACGCTCTTGAAAAATGTTCTAATGTAAATTAATGGCCCGGAAGTTTAGCTGGAAGGGCTATAACGTGAAAGAAACACAGGTAGGAGTACGGTCCTCCCGACTGGCCTTACGAGCTGCAGGAGAACTTTACCCTCTTTCGCAAAGATGTCGGAGGAAGAGGCCGAAGAAAGTGCACCATAATCTAGGGTCTCGAGAACTTTGCCAAAAGTGAGACAGCAAGTTTACGTTTCTTTCGAACGTTAAACGGCTGAATAGACTTTACTTTCAATCGCCTTGTTCTGTTAAGAATGACATTGACACAACAGGGACGCGAAAGAACGTGCTTTTCAAAATTTTCGTAAAACGCTCTTCGATATAAAAATAGACACGTAACTTTATGACTAAAATATCTATAAACACTAAAAAGAACAAAAATTAAACTTTATAAAAATGCCTTAAAAATTAGTTAAGAAGATTAATTTCAGTGTTGCAAGGATTGAAAATTCTTCCGAGAAATTCTTTATCTAGAATATATCAAATTCAAGCAAATGTCATTATTAAAGTTTAATCTTGTTCTCAGTGTATTTTGAAATTCGTTTATCTTAATGCACAAATTTTTTTTCGAGGTTTCTATGATACACATATACACGTATATATGTATAATGGAGCTTTTACGAGTAAACTTTTAAAGAAGTAGCTCAATTTATTGCATACTAGTAATGTTTTACAACTGTACTCTTTCTTGCTTTCCTAAATGAAAATTTTTTTCAATATATCTTGTTTATATATGTCTTGTTTATATATATCACTTCTAAACTTTTATTGATACAAAGAAGTAAGTTTAAAATTTTTTGACTTAATAAAATAAAAATTAATATGCTTTTTTTCTATTTTGTAAGCCTTAACAAAAGAAAAAAAGTTTAATGCAAAATATCATTAAAAATAGAATGCAATTCGACAAATGAAAATTAGATAAGAGAAAATTTCTATACAATGATAAATGCAATATATAGTTTATATTAAAACTTAAATTAAAGTATATTTTAATTTTTGCTAATTCTCTTCAAAATTGGGATTATGATATTAATGCGTGTAATTCGTAAAATATAAACATATTTGAAATTTTATAATAACATAGAAATCATTTATTGTAATAAATATATGTCTTCTATGGCTGTTCTAGAGATAGCTATGAAAGCTATTCGAATATTCAATAATTTCATAACAATGTAGTAACTCCGTTCTAACGCAAACACGGAGATAATTCGAGATTACGGACAAAATGCGGAGCACGCGACCATAGCTAGGAAGTTTATTAATGTGAATATTCGAAAAGCCCTAGTAATCCAGTTTCGTATACGGATTATATTTCTTCGGTGATGAGTTTGAAACACAGTTTCAACAAATTTCGCGAAAGATGAATTTATTCAATCACGTTATTCAATCCGCGATAATATACAATATATTCTTACATATATGACGCTTAGTGCGCGATAAATATACACCCATCTATATAATAATATTATTATGTGACATAACATCCGAGGTACCCACAAAGGAGGAATGATAGAGTACTTTAGGAGCGTCAAACGCGACCAGGGAAACTCTAACAATCCGCATGCACCGTAGTTTACTGTAGCGTCTTCAAGAGTTCTTTGCCGTTGTGCATAAACTCGAAAGACGCCAAACGACGTCAATCCGCTCAGATGTTAAATGTTGAACGCCCACAAAGCTGACTCTGAAAGCATTCGTGGTCATAGAAGAAGAACCGTAAACAATAATTTCTAAAATTTTATACCGTGAATTTAAATTTGACTTTCTATATATTTCCAAGTGACAGAAAAGAAATGATTTTTTTTTACAAAAATTGGAAACAGGTACAAAAATTGAAAAGTAAAGGGATGATTTTAATTAGTTTTATTATTCAGGAAGAATCGACTTTAAATTCGCCAAAAAATTTGTAATCAAAGATAATATATGAAGTGTATATATGTATCGTTTATATAATATAAAAATCATCATCGTTTTCCAAAAGATGATTGTACATTAATGTTGATAGTCCTAACGCACGAATTACACGCCAGGGAGATCCCTTTATTTTACATCCGAGCAGCAAGAATCGTCCTGGGAAGGTACACATTGAGGTTTGAGGAATACACGGCTGATATCGTCTTTTTACGATGCACCGGCCAAGTTCCAGTCACTAGTGGGGTGCGCGTATGGTGTGTATACACCCGGTGTGCTCCTGCGAGCAATAAAAGCATAAACTTCTTCATAGTCCTAGTGCTCCATCGAGGGCAGAACAGTAATGCGGCCAGCCGGAGAAAAAGAGCAACAGCGAAACGAAGGGAGTGAGATCCTTCAAGTTATACGGGGCTTCAATTAAAGTCGGTAAAAAGAGTGGCAGGGAAGCTTCCAGGAAAGCAACTAGCTATCTATGTTTTATGGCTGTTGCACTCACACTGTTTTTGAAGCGTATGCGCGAACGATTCGCCACCGAAAACATTTTCAAGGGTGGTCGAATGCTTGGATATACGCCTCGTACTTATTAGCTATCGCCAGCGGTGGTGATTTCATTTCTACCCTTGAATATGATGTACTTGCTAATCTCACGCTTGATCTCTATTGCCGCTCATTAATTTCAGTAACATAGTTATTACCGAGAGGCGCTGTGCCTGATCCTATAAAAACTTCCAAGAGTCTAAATGAAGACGAAGTATACATGTTCTCGTATAATCATGATGAATATCTTTTCCAAGAAATTCATGTAAAAAGCATGCGTTGGTGGAAAAATTATTGCATAATATTAGGTTCTGTAAATGCATTTAAGTAAACGCACTCTCTTATCTATATGAAAATGATACATATTATAAACGTGTACATATAAATACGTATAT